TTGTGCGTGAATGCAGCTGCTTTTTCTGGACTTGTGCACACTAAAATAAAGACCAGCATACACAGCAAGACACCGAATCCTTTTGTTCTGAATGACAGCCGCGTATCTTTTTATTATTCATTTAAACATTTATCATTATCATTATTGAACAGACACTAGAGCAAAACTAATTTGTTTCTGATAGCTCTTACCTTTCGCTATTCCTTTGGGTTTTTTCTGTTCGTCTGTCATATTTTTTTCCCCACACGAAATGGCCATTACTGTGAAGATGACCTTTTTATTTTTACTCCTTTAAACAGAAAACTAAAAACAAAACACCTCCTTCCCCAAATAACAGAGACACAAACAAACAAACGAATAAACAAATAAACAAGCAAGCAAGCAAGCAAACAAACAAACAAGCAAACAAAAACAGAACAAAATGACCAAAAAAAGCAAAGAAACACTTTGTCCAATAAGTCCACTAGCCAGGACATGTTTTTAAAAAAACATTTTTTAATTCTATTTCATCTTTTTCTCATTTTTCAGGGCAGGTGAGAAAACACAGCAGGTGAGAGGCTCGTCGACAAGGCAGCAGGACGTCACAGGAAAGGGCTGACGTCACAGGAAGACGCTGACATAACAGAAAAACACTGACGTAACAGGAAAACGCTGACGTAACAGGAAAGCGCTGACGTTTACAGGAAAGCGTTGACGTCACAGGAAAGCGCTGACGTCACAGGAACACGCTGACGTCATGGTCTCGTTACTCCTACGCAACTCACGGCCAGGAATCCGATCACACATAATCAAACTCCTAAAACTGGGCATCGCGGTCACTGTCGTTTACATTCTCACCAGCTATCTGCGCCTCATTGCCTTCCCGCATAGGGCACTGACCGACACCATGGTCACAAACCAGAATCGTATCGCGGAGATCGGCGTCCTGAAAAGAACTGTGACTGACCAAAAATGCGTCCACCCTCAGCTAAACGTACACGATCCGGCCATCATGAAGTTCTACAAGGAGTACAAGAAGCTGGACTGTTTCCGAGACGCCGAGTGGGTGAGCCTGAGCAGGGGTCAGTTTGTGAAGTCCTCCGAGGTTGAGGCGAAGGTGGGGAAGATGGAGTGTGACCTCACGCCCATAGAGAGGGACGGGGACTTCAATGTGAAGGACGGGAAGCGGATGGCTGGTGTGGCGAACGGGACGAAGATCGACCGCGACTTCTACCGGGTGGAATGTCGAGCGGCGGGGGGAAAGACTTATAAGTGAGTTACGCGGATATGTTTGTTTGTTTGTGTATTTGTTTGTTTATCTATTTGTTTGTCTCTTTGTTTTTGTTTGTTTGTGTGTTTGTTTGTGTGTGTGTTTGTTTGTTTGTTGATACGTTTTAGGTTATTGTTTGATTACTTTCTGTTTCTTTGTCCGTTTCTTTGTCTAATTGTTTGTTTGTCTGTCTGTCTGTCTGTCTGTCTGTCTGTCTGTCTATCTGTCTGTCTGTCTGCTTGTTTGTCTGTTTGTCTATCTGTCTGTTTGTCTATCTGTTTGTTATTTTTTGTTTTGTTTGTTTGTCTGTTTATTGATGTTTTGGGTTGTTGTTGGAATACTTTGTGTTTTATTTTGTCTGCTTATTATGTTTGCTCGGATGGGTGAAGGGCCCGGCACCAGTGGTGGGTCCTATTTCTTCTCTCTCTCTCTCTCTCTCTCTCC